GGCTGAGTTTGGTAACGGCTCAAGATTAAGGTCGCGCCGCCCCCGGGGCCAAGATTGACAATGACAGACAGCTGCCCAGCTACGGGGCCTAGTAGCTGCTAGACAGGCGCGCGCAAGAGGTCTAGAAGAGCCGTGATAGCCCAAGCTAAGAGCAAGGTTCCTGAGCCGTGGGTTCAGGCCCAGTCTCGATACGGACAAGATTCAAGATGAAGAGTGCCCAACTGGGAGTTGCTGAATACGACTTCATCTTGCTCATCCTCGTAGCTTAGGATGAGGGTGGTATATTTCACTATTGTGTTGCCGTGTGGGAGGTGTGACTTTGTGAGGAGGAGAGGTCCGTGGGTGAGCTGAACGGCAGCCAGCCAGGCAAAGAGTTGAAGAAGGTTGCTGCCCAGTCCAACTCTCACTACCTATCCCTCGGTATCAGATTAGGGAATGTCGGAGAACGAGATGGAGATACCTACCTTGGAGTGAGTGACCACTGACCAAAGTGAGAGACCTGATTGAGAGTGAGAGTGACCAGCGAGCATCAATGAGAGGAGAGATGATTAGGCGTCACACCCCTGCCTCACACGCGCTAGCAGACGTGTTCGGTGCCCACACGCCCCCTGGTGACCAGCACCTATACCCACACCTCCCAAAAATACCACTGGAAACTGGTACAAGTCGTTACCGAAGCCGAAATGCGGTTGGAGGAGGGCACGTTCTCAGGAGCCGCTGGGGGTGTTGAGTGAGAGAGAGACACACACACACACAGAGAGAGACCACCACAGACTGGGGAGAAACTGGAAACGCCGTGTGCGACGACGCTTCGTTCGGCCGGATGTGTTGACGGGCAGATCCCAGTCAGCCCTTTTTCATGTTGCGTGTTTACCTTTACACTACGCCTTTTATTTTCTTTCTACTTGCTCAGTGGAGACAAACGGCTCTCAGTTCCCTTGGGGAGTGAATGCAATTGTATGAATTTCCATCCAGTCGCAGAGCAGGGTTTGATCTCTAAGGTCCACCTCTGTTTTTTTCCAGAATGAGAGTATATACCGTATTGCTCCTGAGGCTACTGAGGTCATTCAAGCTTTCAAGCTCACTGAGAGGACGGATAGAGCCAGAGGCGGAGTAAGAGCCCGGCGTGAGAGTGAGAGTGAGAGGGGCCTCGGGCGGGCGGCTGCACCCACTTTAACCTTCTTTCCTCGCTTCCATTCGTTCTTTGCCGGCCTTCTGCCGCCATTTGCGATTCCGCCCACGCATTTCTTCCTCACTCTTTTCTGCTACACTATTCGTATGGATACACTGCTGGGCTGTGGTCTTCCTCTGTGTTGTGCTGTGACAGCTGTGCTGTCGAGAGTTCCATTTCTCGTCGTCCCCTCATCCTTGGTCGTGCCGGTGGTGATCAACCACTCGTGGTCTTGATCGTCCCTCCCACCGCTCGTCCCACACCCCCCTTCTGCTCGTGTCTTTCTCACCGCACCTTTGACCGCCGGGCAGAATAGCAGCCCAGCAGCAGAGGAGCAGCGCAACTATCCATTGCAACATTGATGGGACTGCAGTAACATTTTCAATACCGAAAGAGCAGCATCAGGCACTGTGTTTGGGTCTCGCGGCTGTTAGTGCCGGCTGTTTCTCGTCTGCCAGCTCATCATCACCACCACTACTTTTCCCTCACTCTCACTCACTCATTATTTCGGTCTCTCACTCTCACTCTCACTCGTCAGTCTCAATCACACCTCCATCCAACCCCAATGCTTCTGAATCCTCGGCCAATCCAATAATCTCACGGCTTTCCCAAAAGACAGAGAAACACCCATACACCCCCATCCCGCACACCACCACATCATCATCGCAACACACACACACACACACACACGCAACGCACGTCCACCACCCACCACCACCCGCACCATAATCCTTACACCCCCCTCCCCTCCCCTCCCCTTCCCATCCGCCATCATTCATCCACCCTCACATCCATCTCCATCCTCCATCCCTGCTCGTCTAGCGTGCTCTGTCTTGCCTGTTCCACCGACATTACCAGCTCGCTGTGGAGACGCCGCAAAGCCTCACTTCCATGACTGGACATTCGTTGCGCTGCTGATCCTGTCGACTTCTTTAAACCACTGGCCTCTCGCCGTCCGCCTTCCCGAATTCTCCTGCGATCGTCTTCCTACTCGAAGCCACAGACTTCCCTGTACCATCGAACATCAACTCGCCTCAACCCGCCTCGCCAAAATTCCAAGTCAAGTCAACCTTGAATCCTGCTGCTCGCACAAATCTTCGAGACCCCCCCAACAATCCACCAAAAGAGTCTCGAATACCAGGAAACAAATCTTGACGCCGCCGGGTCTCATTGTTTCGCTGCGTAGCATCAGCCATACTACATAGAAAGACAAGAGCCAAACAACAACGTTTTGTTTTGCTTGTCTCGCTCCCAGCAAAACAATTCATCTTCCCCGCCCGGTTTCCACAAGTTTGTCATTCGGGAGACCTTGAATACCTTGGAGGAAGAAGAACGAGGCTGCAGCAATATCGTGTCACATCACACCTCGTCTACTACCGACGTCTAACACCACACTCTATCCCTCCGTCTTGACTCGGACGGCCTTGGATACCTCAACCGAGTAGAAGCCCGGCACGCTTCACTCTTCCCTACTATACCAAACCCACCCTAGCTTCTTCGCCCATCACCCCGCTGTTCTCCGCCGACTTGACTCAACATGAACCATCCTTACAATAACGTCCAGGAGATTCAGAGGCAGATGCAACAGAAGCAGCAAGAGCTGGCAAACCTCCAAAACCTTCTTCTTCAGCAAAATGCATCAGCAGCACCGCAAGCTGCCCAGAGCAATTTCAACCTGCTCCCGTCACAAGGGGATTGCCATGTAGACGTAACCGCCTTCACACAACACCAACAGCCCAACGCCGCTCCTCTGCTTAACCGCAGGGCCACAATACCCAGAAGCAAGTCCAATATGGGCTACGCTGCCCAACCCACAAGAACGATGGTAATGCACCACCACAGTACCCATCACCATCATCATTGCTCGTGACCATGGTGAACCAAGTCTCCGTGCTAACAATCTCTTACAGGAGCGCACAAGTGATGACTCCCCCCATCCCGTGAAGCGCGCGAGGGTCATGTCCCAGCAGCACCCCCGCGCCACGCCCATGACGGGCATGTCTAGAAGTGCTTCCAACAGATCAGAAAAGTCTATCCCTTTCGTCGTCAAGGGCCCTCTGCAACCCCTCCAGACGTCAAATAACCCCAATCCCATGATGGATCGCTTCTATCAGAGCCAAGATGACCCTCATGTCTTGTTCGAGTCTTCCCTTCAGCGATCGCCAACAAATCGACGCCATTCGGGCCTCTCGCCTGTAGAGGAGAACGCAGGTTTCCCAGAGGTCGGCATGAACCCTCTCGACTTTCTCGCTGCGCAAGACGAGAGCATACCGTCTCCAGCCATGGTCCCGCCGCCGCAGAACTTCCTGACGCCCTACGATGGCCGGAATTCACAGGCCAGCCTCATGAACTCGGTTTGCCCGTCAATGAGCTCTGGCACATCGGCTGCCGAGACCATGCCTCTTACGAGGGAGAACAGCTCCTTCGACAACCAGTCACTCAGCGGCGCATTCGGCATGACGAGAATCAACTCAGCGCACTCGCAAGGTGCTGCCGATTTTATGTCTCCCGAGGTTTACGCAGTCCCCTCCGGCACGTCACCGAACAAGTCAGATTATCTCGCCTACGTCGGCGCGGGCACTAGCCTTTCGCCGCAATATCCTCAACAGTCGCCCATCGATGAGCAGTTCCTCACCCAAGGCTCGTCGATGATGGAGCGCTCCATCTCCGCTACCAGCAACGCATCCACCAAGTCGAGCACTGAGCGCAGGGCAAAGGAAGCACGACTCCAGCAGATTCAAAATGCGAACCGCACAAAGATCTGCCCCAAGCCTCACGATGCTGTCAAGTCCCAGTCGGCTGCTGCCAAGAAGGAAGGCAAGGTTGCTGTCTCCAAGGGTAGCTACACTCGTCCCAAGCACCCTAAGGTGTTCTGCGATATGTGCAGCGATCACCCCGATGGCTTCCGCGGCGACCACGAGTTGCGCAGACACATCAACGCTAAGCACGAGGGCATCGTCAAGAAGTTCGTGTGCCGTGACCCCAGCACGGTTGGCATGCAGAGTGGCGTCCAGGCCATCAACCCGCTCTCCAAGTGCAAGCAATGCGTCGCCCGCAAGCAATACGGCGCGTACTACAACGCTGCAGCTCATCTCCGCCGCACGCACTTCAAGCCCAAGACTCCCCGTGGCAAGAACAAGCGGGGCGACGACGAGGAGAAGCGTGGCGGCAAGGGCGGTGGCGACTGGCCCCCCATGAATGAGCTGAAGCAGTGGATGGAAGAGGTGTTTGTGGCTGCCGACGACGAGGTCGCCGAGGGTGATGCCCAAGAGGAAGATGAGGAGGAAACTCAGGCCACGGCCCAACAGTTTGACCCCTCCATGTCAATGGACCTGTCTCTTGGCCACATGGGCGAGAACATGACCTACGACATGGGTTTCCCGCAGTCCTACCACATGCCTGAGTTGGCGGCGATCGACACTACCCAGGCCTCGTACCTGGCTGTTTCCAATATGCCGCTCTCCTCCGCGTCGGAAGCCTTTGCCTTTTCCCCGTTTGGTCAGAACTCGCCAATGAACAACGGTCTGTCGCACGAGACGGCCTTTTCCATCTCGTCGTCAAACACCGTCACACCCACCAACTACCACCAAGACTCGCTTACAGCGGAGGCCTTTGAAGGCTATGCCGCCTACTAAAGACTACTTGGGAACATTGTTGAATTCACACGGATTTCTTAATTTCGGAATCTTTCGCATCTCGTGCCACTCGGGTTGCACTCTCTCCCGCGAATCGTGATTGGGTTTGAGATCTCGGGCTGTTGGGCCGCGCTCAGGCGTTCATTGGGCCGACTTTCGGTTGACCAACTGCATGACGCGGCTCTGCCCAACGTCGCCCTCCACCACGCGACCTTTGGATGGTCGGTCAAGAAAAAAGCAACAAAGAAATCACGAAAAAAAGCGAGAACGTTTTTCCTTCGATTGGCAACATATTATGACATCATGATCATTATCAACACGGCTGCCCGGTGTCGTCGGCCGGGTGGGAACACTCGCCGGGTCACACCTGCGCAGCCCGATCTATTCCAATGCTCCGTTTTTTCCGGTTCACAGTCACTTCCCGACTTTCTTCGACTTCGACCTATTTCTATTTCTATCTCCTTCTCAGCCAGTCGGGTCGAGATACGTTTCACAATGGCTCAGTGGAATGCGGTGACAGCATTTCGCGCCTCAAGAGCCGAATGCCTTTCGGTGGTGCAACCGAGGCCTTGAAAACATTGCTGTACATATACAAACACACACACACACAAACGGCCACGTTTCTGGACAACCAACCCAGTCTCCAGCGGATGGATCAAAAGGAGAGGTGGGAGGCGAACGGAATGGCAACCGTCGCTCCCCCGGCCCTGATATGGTACACAGGCGTTGTTTTCTTCTCCGCAAGGAGGTTTTCCTTACTTTTATCTTGGAACTTTTACAATCTTGTGGATTTCTTGCATGGTGTTGGGGATTTGGGAAGGGCTATGCACGCTTTCTGGGAAGACGAAAGGGTTCGTCCCGTAGACATGTATATACATGGGTTGGATGGATGGTCGGTCAGGTTCAAGACGCACAGCACGCGCTTGCGTTGGATGGGTTCAAGAAGACGGAGGGCATATGGCAAATGTCCCACTGGGTGTATAGCACGAAACAAGCAAACTAGGTGTTCATCACCTTCCACCTCATGATCTACTCCCAAGACGTGATACAACTGTGCTATGTATCAATGTGATGCGTATGACACTTGCGATGAAAAGTACTATCCACTTGAGGTGAACTCAAAGCTTTCAGCATCTCGGCCAAGGGGACTGGGGGCTAGCTGGTTGACCGAGCCACATGGCGAAGTAGTCAACTGATGATTGCCGGGATTTGGCAAGACCTACGAATCCCAGACGTGTTCTCGTATTGTCTCATAACCATGGCAGACGAAATGCCACGGCAGCTCATTATCATAGTCGTTAACCGACGCCCTTGTCAAGGGTTGAGGTGAAAGCAGCACCCTCTATAGATCCTCCAAACTCCGTCCACTCATCCGTGGAAGAACCCTAAGAGCGAAAGAAAAAGTCTAAAATACAGTCTGCGCCCAAATGCTTCTCAACCTGAAGCGTTATTGACCCACTACGCCGCAATAATACACTAAAAGTGCATATGTCTGTAGGACTAGATTTGCGAGCCAGGTACCGGTGATCCGGGTGTCTGCTCATGCTGTCTGCTGGGTGAACTCGATTCAGCCGGTTACCACGGAGGTGCTGTACTGCCTGATGACGGGCCAGCAACTTGCCACCGTGCATCCCTTTGCGTAGAGGAAGGCTGAGGTGACATGGGAGATACGGCGTGAGATGCGCCGTCGTATGAAGTCGGCGCAGGAAGTTCGTAATTTGGAACAGGTGACGTGAAGCCTCCATGATGAGTCACAGAGAAATCCACGGGTGATATCGCCAGAGGCGAGGTCTGTAGAGGAGCTAGGCTGTACGATTCTTGCGGATGTTGATGCATCGTGTTGGTCCGGATATTAAGAGTGTTTGTGGATTCGCCGGAACCTTGCTCCGGTGGGACATGGAAAGTCGGAGACTGAGACTGAGGCCCAATGCTGTATCTCAGAGTGCGATCGATGTCTGGGCATAGGCTCCCGAGAAACATCTTATAGAGATCGCCTTCAGCGTGTTCCGTATCGATCAGGTCGCTATTCAGTGTCAACATATGGATCTACGATAGAGAGGGGTTCAACTGGTCCTTACGGGCAACCGTATTTAGCTAAGTCATCGTCCAGGCGGCGTAGTCGCTCTCCTGCCTTCTTGTTGTCGCCGAACTGAACAAATTGAATAGTCACAGGTCTGATTTCTGACACATCCTTTCGACTATGCGGCTGGCCCGGTTGAATGTACGTCAAGTCTCCATGCAGATCTCTCAAACAATGAAATGTCGATCTGAGATACGTGTCGACGGTGTATTCATCATGCATACCTTGCCAGATACCATCAGTCAATACAATGATGGTCTTCTTCCGTGGTTCATCCTTTGAGGTCTTTGCTCTCGTGTAGTCGTTGATGATCCGCTCGAGCTCAGGGATAATGGTGGTTTCGACCGCGGATGTGGGGGAATTGGCTGCTTCGGGCTCTGCAAACTCTAGTGCCTTGGTGAAATCCTTAACCGACTGAGACTTACTGCCTCTGACGATGGCTCTTGGATTCGTGTCGGGGTTGGTGAAGTACATCTCCATCCCGTCGTCGTCGTACGCTAGCGCTCGCCATACCATGACCTCTAGTAGGTCGATGACTGAAGACCACCACTTACGCATAGTCGTGCCATTGTCCACGAGGAAGACCTGTTACCATTAGCCTAAGTTCATTGAAGTTCAAGCTTGATATACTCACGATATCACGGCCCTTGTATTCCTCCTCGAGCCGAGAGTCCAATTCAGTCAGGGCGTCTAGGCTTTCCTTGCTGTTGGAAGTTTTCCCTTTGACGGAAGTCTTCTGTCGTTGAATGAGTGAACTGAGACTCTTCGGTGACGGTTTGAACCTGAGCCCTACTTTCTTCAGCTCTTGTTTTACTTGAGAAGCCTTGACAGGTTCGCGTCGTATCGGACTTCTTGACCGGTAACTGGGAGACTCCGAGTAGAATGAAGATGAAGGGACGCCGACTGGATGGCTCAAAGGTGAGATTGCGGAGTTTCTTCGTGAAGGGTCTGCGTATCCATAAGTGTGAGAGTGCAGACTACCTTGTCGATCCGCACTCTGCACAGGATATCTCACCGCTGGGTGTGGTGACTGGCTCGGGGATCCACGGGTGGTGCGTGGTCGTTGGGCCGTTGGTTGGATGGCTTGATCCAGCAACTTCTTCCGACTTTCAAACTCGATTTCGGGTAAGGGTAAGTCGATGGGCTCCATCGTTTTCGTGATATCGTCCGAGTCAATTCTCTTAATCCCCGACTTGTGTTCTGAAGAACGTTCGACCTCAAGTTCAATGCTTTGAAGCATATGTTGCAAGCCAGGGGGTACCTTGGAAGGGCGGGTATCGTTCTTCGCGAGAATGCTTTTAAAGCTGGCGCATACTTTTTTTGCAGTCTGCCGACTGTCTCCGGGTACAAGCATATGGCCATCGACCATGTCCAAGATTGCGGACGTGTACGGGTCTGTCTTTCTTGATGCTTCGCGGAGATACTGGTGCCAGTGAAGAACTTCGGGTAAGACACGCTCGCCGTCATGAAAAGCGTCACTCATTCTTCCTCTGGCATTCTGAGTGTCCTGACGACGAAGCCGTTGATAGATCAGAACTCCTTGAGTCCCAAGAACCACATAGGTCGCAGCAACTGACAGGACGCATCCAAGAGACCAAACATCACTTTCTGGAGTAACCTTCGGCATCTTGGTGCTGATGTCATCCAAGTAAGCTGTCTTTTCGGGTGCCGCTAGTCATCGACTTGGTCAACCAGTTGCTTTCTGTTGGGATTCTGCTCAGGAGCCAACGGACTTACCATAAGTTCTTGTACCTCCTAATGATCTCGAAGGAGGTAAGTACGGCGTACCCGAGTTCTTGAGCAACATGCTTGCTTCACCAGGATCGGCTAGTTTGAAGCGATCGTTGACTCTCAGAATGTTTTCCGGTTTGATGTCTCCGTGCCATCTAATATAGAGTAGTCAGCCTTGATCATGAATCTGTCATGGACGTCAACTTACGTCCAAAAGTTCAGCTTGTCGATCGTGATTGTGTGGATAGACGCCAGTGTCTTCGAGATCTCAAACATGGACTCCCAAAAACCATGGATTTCCTCCGACGATATTGGCGGTGATAGCCTCATCACCGCCTCGTAGAAGTCGAAGTCGGCAAGCTCAAGCACAATGTTGAAGTATTCTTGTTTGGCACCATCATCGCCGAGTTCGAAACTCCCGAACCATCCGATGTATTGAATCATTCCTTCCTCATGTTCAAGATTGCTAAACATATTGATCTCATTGAGGAAATGTTCATGCTTGTGTGGTCTGAACTGTTTCAATGCGAAGCGATATGTCTGTGATTGACATTCGGTAAGCTAGTATTCCATTCTAGGAGTTGCTTTGGAGAAGACTTGCCAGACCCTTGCCATTTCTCCCCTCTCCTTGTCTTTCTATCTTGGCTGATGCCATTCTCTCCTGAAGATGACGCCCAACAAGCTCTTCTGGAACGTCGATGGCGTATAGAGTGGCGTTGTTCTCTTTCGGACCCTTGCCCTCGCGATACGGCGTGATCTTCTCCTTGCGCGAAAGTGGACTGACTGCATCGCGATAGACTTGACGCATGCCCATGTCGAAACGTATTGGGCACCAGTCGAATTGTGTTTTATAGAATCGCTCGTGAAAGTTATGGAATCTTGGTTTCGAGGGGGGCTTGATGCACTTCTTGAGCAATGTGAGTTCGATAGGAAGCTTGTTGAGTCCGTTGTCACGAAAAAGGTTTATAAGTGATGGCGCTCGAATGTCGAGTAAGGTGTAGAATATGGCGAGATACTCGTCTTTCTCGTAATGCTGAGCTCGCATTTGAGGTGGCTCAAGCTCATACTGGAGGTATGCGGTGCGCTGTAACCTGTCGAGATTGTTGTCGTACTGGGCGGAACAGGTGGCAGAACGACTCTTTAGCCTTTTGGTGACATTGTCCACAAGCACAAACTCTTGCCGACATGCTGAGGTTCGCGTCTCGTCCCGTCGTATATCATCAAATTCAGACAAGGCGATCTGGAACTGCAGCTTGAAATCGGATTTGCTATCGCGATTCATGACGCCAAAAAACCAAGTCAAACGGTAAGGACGCGAACAAGAGAAAGGAGAACGATGTAAGTGATGCCAGACGACAACTCCTTGGCGTCACGAAGAAGTGTGCAGATCAATGCTGAAATAGTGAAATCAAAGATTCTCGGAACGTTTGAAAATTCAAGCAAGGTAATCAAGTGCGAGGCTCTTGATGTGTACAAATAAGAAATCAGAGTGGCAGACCGAGACTGGAGCCCGAGCCTTGCAAGTGGGTGGGAAGAAAGAGGGCGTAGTGTTCGGATTACCTCTCCATGTGCGGATGGAGCCACCCCCGCCTTATCGTGTATGTCGCTTGCTCACAAGCCTTCTTTTCTAGATCAATTGCCGTCGAATGGGGTTACCATAGAGGGCAATGTGAAGGTAGAAGCAGAAAAACACATCTGTTTCCCGAAGCACATGTACTGATAATCTTTCACGCTAACATAGCCGTTGGTACATACACCCCCCGCCAATACTCAACCTCATTCTCGAGATGGTTAAGAAGGTGCAAACCTGGTTTTCCGTTAGGCGGCAGTCACAGACTCAAACTGGAGGGTGGACAGAACTTCAGAAAGGGGGGGGGGGGTTGAAAAAGTATAGCTGCATGGCATATGCTGTCATCTGAGTTAAGCGCCATCACAGTGCGTCAAGTACTCCGTACAGCCTGATGAAGGTTCGCGAACCAGCAAATCGGCCCTCCTACTCAAACTAAGCATCACTGATACCGATCGATCCCCCCTCATTTATTGGTAAATGCCCTATGGAATGACGAGCCCCACACCCAGACTAGCGGAATTTCAACGGGAGGTATGGCAGAAGCAATATGAGATGATCTATCGTCCCGCGTTGGGGAAACGTGAGTCTCAACCTAAACTTCACCTCACTCCCACAAAGATCGATGCCTCATCTGCTGCCTGCTCTGGCCATGTAGAGCACAGTTGGGGTGGGTAGTCGCCTGAGGAAGATCTAGTCGGAAGCCTGAGCTAAGGGTGTAAGGCAATTTGATCCCACCTCATAGCAGTGCGGCTCATCGTTGGAAAGGGTGTGAAGGCAACATGTGCTAGAATTTTCAGGCCAGCCAGGCAGTTGAGCCATACCACCAAGTCACTGGCTTGTTTGCCTTGCGGCAGCCTGTGCCGTCCCGGTGAGGTCGGTCAACGACTGGATCAAGACTCGTCCGCCCTGCTGAGTGGCACAGCATGTCTCGGTCTCATTTTTACAGCGATTCAAAAGAACCAATGCTCCCCAAGCCTTTTAAATCGGCTGGGGCTGAAATCACACTCTTTCGCTATCGTTTCCCCGCCCGAGCCTGCCTTATAACAGCGTCAGCCCTCCCATTGTCTGTATCTCCTTGGGCAGTTTTTGTCTGACAGCCTGATTCTGAAGCTGTGCCTCCTCACTGCCACTTTTGCATTAGCTTCATCCACGTAGCAAAAGTCATACACGGATTTTCAGGATGCCTACCGATCCCCCATTCTCATTCAAGAAGGCTTTTACTTGGAGGAAACCAACTGATAACGAGATGCCACCGCCACCTCCTCGCAGAGCAACGTTACCCCCGTCACCTCGCGGTTGGGTTGAACAAACTGTCTCAGCATATAACTTGAAATGGCCCGATCTTCGGCGGTATCTAATAGGCATCTACCAGATACAGGACGGGCGAAGACTCAATGAAAGACAATTTTGTATTGCAGTATTCCTCCCACTGATAACATGACTGACAAGAGCCCGTAGGAGATGTACGAAGATAAGTTTTACTTTTGGGTTCCAAGGGAGCTGAGCGAGGTTTGTAGAAATCCACATTATACTTCTCCACATTATACTTCTTTGCGTGATGGAGACTCAGATTATGTACTGCAGGCTGAGCAAAGGACTATTGACACCCTGCGGGCTCGCCCTGTCGACAGGGAGCAAAGAGACAACTCACCTGACCCCGCTAGAAGGATCTCCGATGATTTTGACTTTAACTAGATAAATTTGGACTGCAGGAACGGGGGAATTGGAGGGTTTCAATCGGCGTTTGACAGAAGAAGGCTGGTACCTATCAACTGGCGTAGTGCGTGTGAAGAAATTGCGCTATGCTTTCGTTTTGTACACACAACCAATAATCAGATATCTTGAATGATGAGAGAATCAAGGCCTCTACATAGCTCAAATAGAGAAAAGTTTTCGTGCCAAAGGCATCTTCTTAGGCCGCTCATAATTAGCTATTGGGTAAAATGGTAAACAAAGTTACCTGTGCCAGTATTATTGTTGGCTTCGGTGAGACAGGGCTGCTGCGTCCTACACAGCCACCACAACGCAGCCATGTGTTCCAATCATCTCGAAAGCCCAGGCGCCCGGTGTGTATGCCTTGTTTGCGGCTATGGACGTTCTCTTTATGTGCCTCGTTCCCTTCTCGCAAAAAGACATGACTTATCATCCTCCTACCATGCACCCACACGGCCTTTCCGAAGTCTCAACGTTGATACAAACAACAGGAACAGGCCTTGCAGTAGTTACGTTCCAAAAAGTCACAATGACGGCCACCACGCTTTTTACGATATCGTACAACGCGTATGGCCAATATCCACGGAACCATCTGTCTGCCACTGCGTATGGCACAGCGGCGCTGGATCGTCACCGGAACAGGCTGTGGGAGTGCAGGGACCGGCTCTTCACCAGCAAAGGTCTCGAGAAGGGACACTATCTTCCGTTCCGGGACATATCCGCATCTGGTTCAGTGAAGAAGAGCAACATTCACAGCGACGAACAACTCCGAGATTTCCTCTGCACCGATGCATCGAATACTACAGCCACCAATGATACGGTAGTAGTCCAGCCCAGCTTCAAGGGAGACGAGGCCTGTCGATTTGTGTTAGTCCCAATATTTCTTTTCGACTCGCAATGATCAGATTCTTAACCTCATCATCAGACACAATATGCATTAATGCGAATTTAAGCCTAACTTAGACAGCTTTTTGTGCGCCGAGAGTGCAATAGGACCCTTGGAGCTAAGTGCAATGATGCTGTTCCAGCTGCTGAGCTTCTATCAGGTCATGTTACACTTTCTGGACTTTCTCTACGTATATGCATCTCCCCATGGCGATGACAAAGAACTGCATTTCAGTGGTTTCAGAACACAGAAAACTCTAACGAACCCACAACCGGCAACGATCTTGCCTGAGCTTGGCCGGAGTGGCAGGCAATATCAACTGTGTTACAACATCAAGACCGCCGTAGACAAAGGAATCGATGGTTGGAAAACTCGGCAAGCGGCTATCCACCACCAATTCGACATTGGCCAAAGCACACAACTATGGATCATCGGAGACCCTCATTCGTCCATCAAAAGAGTTGTTGGTGAGCTCTATCATGAAAATCACGTTTATCCAACCAGCTTCAGTACTTTTCAACAAAGCTTCAAGTCATCTATGGATGTACACTTATCTCTTGCATCTTGGGCTACATCAGAATGGAGGTGGAACATTCGATTCCTCGAAGAGAGGGCTGAAACACTGGCAGGTTTTTCGGGACATGCCTATTCATGATTCTGCAGATATGACTAATCTGTATCCTTCATCAGACCCTCAAAGCCACGCTTGTCAAAGAAAGGGCTCACATCGAGACATTAGATCCCGGCTCTCTCAGTACGGTTCAGAGATGGGAAGAGAAGACCACTGACACCGTTATGTCTATGGAATCGAACGTCAATGTTCTGAAGCTTCTTCAGAGATACTACAGAGATCTACTCAAGGATAGCGATTTCCCCCAGAGAGAGCGACGTGCGTGCCAACAGGGAGTCAAGGACTTCTGTTTTCAACTAGAAGAACTCATCTGTGAAATGCAAATGCAAATCGCCAGGGCACAGGTATTGGTGAAAGTTCTAGCTGAGCGGAAGACGGTTGTGAGTGACCCACGAGTTCCCGCCACATCTGTAAACCCGAACTCCACTAACGCAACTGCATCATGAACCACAGCTCATTCAGAATCTGCAAGCCCAAAGTGCTATTATTTCATCAAGACTTGCAGCTAGTATGTATGACCAAGCCGATCGCAGTGCGATAGAAGCTATTGCTGTTCGCATAGTCACAATCGTGACCGTGGTTTATCTGCCTGCAACCTTCTCAAGTGTTAGTTCTTCAATAATTCACACTGCCAACGTTCTAAAAGCTGCTGACTCTCTCCTGTAAGACCTTCTTCAGCACAGATGTTGTCAAGTATCAGGGCGGTGAGGTCTTCTCAAAAGTTGCGCTTGATCGCTTTCTAGAAGTCACACTTCCACTGATGCTCCTCACCTTCGTCCCCGCTGGAATCTGGTTCTGGCTCGAGAGACGGAAAAGAAGTAAGACTTCTCACCGGGCTAAGGAAGCGTTGGTCGATTTATTTTCTGAAGAGACGGATCTCGACGGAAGATGAAAATCTCGTTAGCTAGACCTATTGATCTTTTTGCTTTTGTTAATCGCTATCGTAAGTTTGATTTTCTACAGTTTGGCATATTAGTGCGAACACTTTACTGCCCAAAGTATCTGTCTTTCCTTTTCTTTCTGGGTCCGGAGTTATTGTTCAATAGAAAGACAAATAGCAGCAATGCGTGCGATTAACCGATTTCCATGACCTTCTACCTAAATAACATAAGGGATAAACTATCGCTCATCTCTTATTATGCTGTGAGCTAATTCGATGATAAATCAATTTGACATGCACAAGCTGAAGTAGATAGGAGATTTCGGACAATAACAGCCGTATCCTCCATAAGTCATTCCTCTATCTAATCGAACGACTCTTATCATCGTAGACCCCTACTACCCTGTCCCAACGGAGCCTTCTCATTTGGAAAGAAAGCTCTACCTCGGGGTCGTCTCTGAGAGGACTTGGGCAAGCAAGACACCAGACTGCTTAATTCTGTTGATTTGAAACTTGTTTTAAGAGTTTTTGTCGTTGTGAATCGACGTTCCGATGACCTGTTCCGGGGCGTAAGTCTAGACACACTAGTGCAGGGCCGTCTCCAGTGGTAACCTCGACGAGCATAATTCCGCCAGACGTCAAAGTAGCCACAGTGGGCTGTACATCGATCGAGAATCCTTGGCCCTCGCCGACGAATGTGAATTAACTATTATGAGGGCCACGACTCTTCAGAGGAATCCTTGCTTCCGAAGATAGCAGGTACATAAGTATCTCCTGAGCTTCTAGGCCCGTAACATTTGCGACTTCGCGTACACTTCGACAAGTTGCCCTGCCAAGGAAAATGTCACGCCAGGGCCACTCGCTTACTCGAATGCTTTTCGCAGCAAGGATGATGAATCCTGCAATGATCCAAGAGGACATGGTCAAATTGAAAGGATCAACGCCTGCGATATGCTCGCCAATGGAAAACCCCACATAACAGGCCCCCGAAAATAAGAAAGGAGCAGCTAGCCATTATGGAAAGACTGTATCACAAACAACCGACTGTGATAGCAGCCTCTTCTATCGCTCAACCTTGAGATTTTAACAATCTTTCTAGAGACAAACGAAGGAAAGGGTGGTTGTTGCCAGTCGGACACTAGAATCCATATCGGACTCTGACTCTTCAAACACGGATACAGGTGTACTGCTACGCCTTGATGGCAACCAGACTGACGGCGATCAAAGCGATCTTTTGGGAAATGAGGAGCTCTACCTCATCTGTCGAAACCGCATTTCGGCCCATCTCCTCACTTCGGGTATCGAGGCCGACAGCCTCATCATCTCTTATCTCCAGAATATCCAATGGATACCAGTCAGCCTGTTTCCCCACTATGTTGATATTCGCTTGTTCCGGTCCTTGATACAGGGTCAGATGGCCTCGAAAGGAGAGGGAGCACTTCAACGACTATGCCGTGGTTTAGGGAGTGCGGGCTTACTAATATTGCTTCATGGACCAACAAGCACAACTCGAAAGATTGCGAATAGTGAGTGCCGTGTTCCAAAATCCTACTCGGATGTTGAAAAGCCTGATATTCTCTTTTAGATATCGCAGAGCATGTAATAAGGGCTGTTTACCGGGTCCAACGTGTACCGAATCTCAAACGGTTTAATCTCGATTTATGCTGTTATTCACAATGGGGAACAATCATGCTGATTGAGAGAGCAGATACCCTGCACTCGAAGAATGGCACCATCGATAAAGCGCTCCGCGATTACTTGATACTTTGCCCAGGTGCCATCTTTTTGACTACGGAGCACCTGAAAAACGTGGACTGCACGTTGCTCGAAGAGGTTGACTTAGTTACCAACTACGAAGATGGATGGGTTCTTGACGACGGTGACACGGCAGAGAGCGTACCATAAAGGCTATGGAGACAGCATCTCTGTGACGAGCTTCCCGATCTAAGTGAAGATAGGTCAGATACTCGGCTTCGGGAACTTTGTCGCATTCTCGCTGACTCCGAGACTCGAAATTTCCGTATGCTCTCAATCGCTCGAATGGCAGTGCGGCTAGCTGAGTCAGAGGGCGAGAACATCGCCGAGAGGCATGTATTTCGAATCATTCGGCAATCTCTTGCACTTAGAGATCTTGCGAGCTTTGACAAAAAGATTCAACAACGGGGTCAGGTCATTGCTGAGCGAGCTTTTTGATAAAGTCGGATGGAGTTCAGCTATGGATCTCGACTGGGTGTATATTGATTCCAGTAAATGAATCCTTGTGAGTGGAAAGAGGGAACGACTCCAGGACCAAGGTTGAGCTTACGCTCTTTTCTCAATCTACTGTTGATTGTTCTCTTCAGCTGGTCACATTCAGCTCTATATTCGGGACGGTGAAGGTTCTTCCAGTCGTTGGATTCAAGCTATCTCATCAATGCTACGCCAATGGGCTTTTCATCAACACAAATGCCTCCCGAGTCCCGAGACTTTCTCTCTATAAAACAGGCAAAATTAAACAAGCAAACAACTGCAAATGCCAAAAAAGCTTCTCTTCTATGCCTTGAAGAAGTCGGTAACAGCCTTGGTGAACTGATCAGGGTCCTGCATGGGCGCAAAGTGGCTGACACCGGTGAGAATAGTAACCTGGCTGCCGGGGATGGCCTTGTTCAGGATACCGGGGACATCGAGGTTGACAGCCTCCTCGTGCTCGGCGCCGGCAATCATGACCTTGGTACCAGCAATGCCCTTGAGCTGCGCGTCGGTGAACTGGGGCAGAGTACCCTCCATCGTGGCAACCTTTGTCGCGAACTCGGTGAAGTTGGCTCCGGGCTGGAGGGTGCCGTACTCGGTTCTGCAGCGGGCGACCAGGGTAGAGAATATGGTAGTGTCGCTGAAGGTGGCGTTGGTCTGGTCAGGCTTGGCCGAGGCACCGAAGATAAAGGCCTTGTTGATGGGCTTGGCCGTGACGGAGTTGATCAGCGCCGCGAGGGTGGTGATACCGCCATCAGACCATCCAACGACGTTGTACGATGACACGCCGGCGCCCTCGAGGAGGTCGTGGATGTCGAGCGCCATCTGGTCGTACGTGAAGACGTCGTCCTTGTTGTACGTCGTGCGGCCGTGGCCGCGGCGGTCGACGGCGATGACGTAGTGGCCCGCGGACACGAGGCGGGAGATGACGGAGCCAAAGTAGGCAGAGTAGCCGAGGCCGCCGTGGTCCATGACGATGGGGACGCCGCCGGCCGCCTTGTTGTACTCCTGGAACCACATCTGGATGCCGTTGATGGCGGTCTTGGCCGTGGAGATGGGAGTGGGGAGGTCCGGGGTCGCGGGGAGGGTCTGCCAGATAGGGGTCTGGCGGACGGCGAGGCCGGAGACGGAGCCGGCGACGGCGACGGCGGCCATGAGGGCGTTGTTGAAGTGCATTTTGACGGTTTTTTTTTTGGTTTTGAGTGGAAATCACAAAGAAAGAATGTGGTGACTGGTTGAAGAGAAAAAGAGTGTGCGGGACAAACAAACACAAAAAAAGTGAGAGACTGAGTGAGAGACGATGCGGTTTGGGATATCCAAAAGCGAAGCGATTGATGAGGGTGGAGGAGGAAAAAAAAGAAGAATTCTAGAACTTGTCGGGGAACGATTGTGTAAATAAATACACAATTGTCATTTGACTTCCTTCATCTCTCCTAGCTCATCGTCTCTTCGTTCCCCGCTTGGCGAACCGAAGGGCTGGAATTGAGTTAATTGCAATTCATCCAGTCGTGGCGGAGCAAGAACCTGAAAATAGGAGGCGTGGTGCCAGGATCACGACTCACGCAAGTTCGCAAACCCCGGTTTAGAGTTTTTCGCACTTTTCGCCCTCTCCGTAGCCCGCGCCCACAATCGGTGGCCTTTACGGCCGGCCGTGCCGGGGGAGAGCCTCATTAAGACATCTAAACTCGGGGGGCCGCGCGCGGCAAGCGAAAACGAAGAAAGCCTAAAAAGTCTATAGTATTAGTATGATCTGTATCGTGGGATAACCAGGCGTGCTAGTCGGCTAAGCGGCAGCTCTCAAATGAAGTCGGACGACTCCGTAAAAGGTGACAAAATGCCACTATTCTTTCGCATACTCACAAAGGCAAATGGGGGCCACGCAGCTTGTTAACCCCCCGCGAAGAAGTTCGGACAGAACGCACAGTTCCAGCCGTAGGGCTCCTCGCACACATACACAACACTCGGGAGGACCCGACTGGTTCATCACTTTGACACATGGGATGGCAGGGGTATCCTGCACAGATCACGTCTGGAGTTGATGGGGGGCGATGGCTATACCGCAATGCGTTATTCCAGTCAGCTCATTCAGACTCTCACGAGCCTCAATGTCGTATTCTTCCAAGCCTTACTGGGCCTCGAGACTCAAGCCGCGAGCCGATACAACCGTTTCTTGCTCAGCCAAGCCCGACCTTTGTCGATACTTAGCATCGGACTTTGATCACCATCACAGTCGCAGCCATTCTGGAACCCGAGACCGAAGCGTAAGGTCCTCAACTAATGGATTTTGACCATTACTTCTTAAACATACTCTAAAGCCCGCACCATGGCAGAACTGTAGAAGCTTTTATATAGCAAGATATAACAAAAAAAGTAATGCAACAAACTAGCAACTCCTTACTGATGAATCCCCTGCGTCGGGCCATGCTCCACAACCTTCCCCTTGTCCAGGCGGATAAAGTAGTTGGCGTCCTGGACGGCCTCGAGCCGGTGAGCAATCGTGATGACGGTGCTCGTAGTCAACTCATTCCTCAGAACCTCCTGCACTCTGGCAGCCGTCTCCTTATCAATTGACGCAGTAGCCTCGTCCAACACCACAATAGGGCTCCTTCGGAGGACGGCCCGGCCGATCCCGATGAGCTGCCGCTGTCCCTGACTCAGGTTCTTCCCGCCGCCCTCGACGTGGGAATACAGGTCCCAGCCGGTGCCCAAGACCCGGTGAAGGACGACCACGCACTCGGTATCGGTATACTGGTGCAAAGGATCGAGGTTGTCTCTCAGCGTCCCAGGAAAGAGCACGGGATCTTGTGCTACGAAGCTGACGCGCTGCCGCCATACGTGGACGTCCACATCTGATAGCTTGTAGTTCCCGACGCGGATGGCGCCCTCCGATGGGTGGATTGTCGCAAGGAGGGCGAGAGCTAGGGTGGACTTACCAGACCCCGTCCTGCCGAGCACCGCGCAAGTGGAACCCCCGGGGATGGTAAAAGTGGCTTCCGAGATGGAAGGATCCAAGTGAGGAGCGTACCTTAAGGTAACGTTGTCGAAGATGACGTCGTCCGAGTGGTGAGGCCAGCTGATTGGGGGCGTCAGTTCGCCGCAAGGCTCCTCGGGGATGTCCAGAAGCTCAATCACGCGCTCGACTGAAACGAAGTCCATCTGCAAGGTACCATACTGCTTGCAGAGGTTATGTGTCGCCTCGACAAATGCGGACGCGGTCGTCAATACGAAGGCGGTCAGACCAGGGGAGAGACCCTTGTACAGCGCGAGAAGTGTAAGCGCAAATGTGCAGAAGGCGGAGAGGGCATCGAATCTGTACATGAGCCAGGCCTGGAGACTCCAGTAGAAGTGATCCATCTTCTGGAAGGCATCCGTGACGACAATATTCATGTTTTGGAAGTGGTGCTGGGCTTTGAAGGCGCGGATGGTCGCGAGTCCATCGAGCAGAATACCAAAGTTGGACATGAGAGGGCTGAGTGAGACCATTTCCAGTCTTCGCAGGCTCTGGGAGGTAGGCAGGAACCGCATGAAGATGTAGATGAACCATAGCGTCATGCCAACCGAGAAGAGCAGAAAGAGCGGGGTGACTGAGGCAATGACAATCATGCTGGAGAACCATGTGATGGACTGCACGGCAACTTCGCGCAGGGGTCTCATAATGCCTCCGTCGATCATGCCAATGTCGGAGACAAGGCGGTTCATCAAGCGTCCTACCGGCGTAACGTCGTAGAAGCGGAAAGTTGCTCGGCCGACTTTGTTGATGACTCTCTTAAAGAGATCTCTTGCCGCAGTGATGATCATGAGCAAAGTGAGTCCTTCCGACAGCGTGTAAATCATAGCCTGTGCAACGGCGATCCCGAGATAAACCCACAACCAGGGCCTCAGATCGGTATCTGGGTCCGGGAGTCCAGCAAAGAGCTTGGAAAAGTCGATACCGTCGGAAGCTCCCTTCGTCGATGTCTCGTGCTTGTATGCCTCACCCCATGCCTTGAGGAACCAGTAGTTGAGAAGGCTGCCCAGTCTAAACAATGCAAATACCAAGACTAACACAGCCCACCACTTGAGCTTACCAGCCTTGATATAGGTCCAGTAAACCGACAGCATGACGCCGCCATGAGCACGGTGCTCTTCTTCGATGAACTTGGATGGTATGGCGGCGTCTTGCTGGCTTTCGTCGAGGGTGTGCTCGTGCTCGTCCTGGTGAGCCGCCGGATCCTCGTCTTCCAGGAGGAACTTGGCGACTTCTGCCGATGCTTCTTCCGAGTTCAAAACGCGAGCGGTGCCGTCGACAACTTCGACCATCTGGCCAGCGAGATGAAGACACAAGTCTACTCTATGAGTGACGAGCACCACGGTCCGGCCTTCTACCAGCGGACCCTGGAAGAGCTTCTTCACGATGGATTCAGCTGTATTGTGGTCCAGAGCAGCGAGAGGGTCGTCCAGCAAGAGCACGCGAGACTGGCTGTACACGGCGCGTGCCAACGCCACACGCGCTCTTTGTCCACCCGACAGACCGATTCCATTCTCGCCCATGTCGGACAAGTCTCCATGCTTAAAGGTAGCCAGGTCGGGAAGTAGGGCACACGCATCGAGAGTCTGGGTATACCTCACAGAATCAAAGGGTGCTGAGAAGAGGATGTTGTCGCGGATGCTCATGTGTTGAAGCCAGGGGCTTTGAGCACAGTATCCGATGGGCTCTGTTGGGATAATAACGTCGCCTATTTGCCGGTCAAGTTCTCCAAGGATTGCTTGGAGCAATGCAGTCTTGCCGGAACCGACTTTGCCAAAGATGACTGTGAGACCCTGCGGAAAGCTGATGTCCAGGTTTCTGAGCACGGGTTGCTCGTATCCAGGCCACGAAAACGTAGCTTTTGTAAATTTGATATCGTTTGTGAGATGGTCGGAAAACACGCCGTCCTTGTCAGGCTCGCCCATGAACTCCTCGATACGGCCCATGGCAATAGATGCGTTCAGGACAACAGTGATAAGCCCCGGCAGTTCCTTGAAGCTGGTCTCTAGCAAAGTGAACAGCGACAGAGCGGGGAAGGCCACATCAACGGACAGAGTCTTTCCAGCAATGAACGTGTAGGCAAAAAAGGTCGCAACAGGAAAAAGAGTGCCAGAGGTAATGTTGAGTGTGGAAATCGCGATACTCCATAGGCCGGTGATAACCCTGGTCCTGAGCTCGTGTCTTCGAGTGACCATGATAGCGTCCAACCACTTTGATTGCCAGTCGTACCATCGCAAGTGCCTAATCCCTTCGACGAACTGCGACGTCGACTGCAACCGAGCATCAGTGGCGGCTCTGCGAACGCGCTCCTTCCTGAGAAGTTGGGTGATGAATATAGTGTTGAGCATCTGGGCAAGCACGACGCAGAACATGCCAAACATGCACGACCAGCCAAGAAGCTGCCAGACGAGGAAGAAGGAGAAGATGAACTGGAGCGGCTTCACGACCAGGGCCGGGAACTCCCAAAAGCGCTGGGCAACTTCGTAAACGTCATTTCTCATCAGATTGAGAATCTTTCCAGTGGTGGCGGGCTGCCTGGATGGTTTTTGATCTTGCACCCGGCGGTACTTTTGATTTGTTGATCGCCCACGTTTGAACCAACCGAAGAGCTTTCCAAAACGGCTGGTAGTCTCGCTGCCACTTTCGTTGTCATCGGTAGCAACTTCTGTCTCTTCGTCATCGTCGTCGCTCTCGTCGTTTCCGTCTTCCTGGGATCCATCTAACATCTTCTCGGCAGCTGGTTGGCCAAAGTGCTTTCGCGACAGAGTCTTGGCGTAAAGTGTTGTAATCATCTCTCCGCGAGACCGCTCATAGCAGCGCCTCGAGAACCAGAGTTGGAACACGGCAGCCTGGCAGGCAATGAGACGAACAGCCAAGATGCCAATGGAGTAGAGGATAGACACCTCAATATTCTTGGACCCGCTCTGGATGGCCCGCAAGAGCTGCTGCAGTAACATCGGGACGGAGAGTGCTGCGGCGCATTCAACGATACCCAGGAGCGTCTGGATAATCAAGTCCAGGCCGTTTGCTAGGAACAGCTTGGCGGTCATGGTCCCGCGAAGCTCGTGAAACAGCCCGTGGAGGCGCTCATGCTGGAAATCGAATGGCAGTTGCCATACGTCCTCGTTGTGCAGCTGCTTCTCGTAGCCCTTTGAAATCATGGGCGCCATCCATGACACGGTCATGAATCTCCACAGAGAGAGGTTGTCTTCGGGACTGCGAAGCTGGTCGGTGGGTTCGGTGCGCGCAATGTCAGAGTCGCCGAGTGACGGGTCCCGCATCGGCATCGCTACAATACCAATGATGCCAACCAGGCTGATGGACGGGTCTGCGAGGACGAGCGTGTGGACTATTTTGTGAAGTCTGTAACTGAATGCCGTCGAGACAATGCCGCAAGCCAATGTAGTAAGGTAGAGAAACAACAGCGTCTTGGGCGTCTTAGTAGGCCGGTCCACGGCGGTGATTAAAGCGGCGATGAACCAGGGGACCAAGTCCAGCAAGTCAAAAAGGCGGCGATGCGCGAGAGTAGACGAAACACCCTGAACCAGTCCGGCTAGCGCAACCGCGAATAGATAGACTGTCCAGAATGTCCAAGGCTTCTTCAGAGATGGATGTACTGCATCCCCGTAGGAGGACTCCTGGGCAAAGCCAGAGCACCACGCGGGTCTCCTGCGAAGAAGCGGTCTCAGGACAACGAGGCACAGCAGCGATGCCGCGACCGAGGCGCGGACAATGTTGGTGATTTCCATGACTTTGGAAGCATTGAAAAGTTCGGCCGTAGTCAGGATCGTCGTCGTCGCGTTCTCAGCTTGAAACTGTGCGTGGGATGGAGAGTGAAGGTGAGACGGGCCAGCAAGGACATCTTGGAAGGCGACATAGCTATAGAACGGCAAACCTTTTGACGGCAGCTCGCCGCCGCCGTCCAGGTCTACGAAGCTACCCATCTTTCTGGAAAAAGTTTGGCAGCGATTGCTGCCGCTTGAGACGTGTGGAACCCGGAGCGTGGTTGCGATACCATCAAGCTCCCAAACCACGGGGCGGGGTGAAGGTTTTGTCTTGGGTTGGACAGCGGGGGAAGGCAGATAACGGAGTGAGGTTAGAAAGTCGGGTACTAGTACCGGATCTCACCGCTCCAAAGGTTCTCACAGTTTCAATTCGTCAATTGGCCAATGTAACGAAGCGTCAATTGGTTAAATGTAACGAAGGATCAGACGCGAAAGTGGTAGCCTTGTCAATCTTATTCCCGAAATCATGCCTGCACCTGACTGCTCACGTGTCATCTTCGGATAAGCGCTGCATTGTGTCGCGAAATTTGGGGGGAATCCCATCGGCCGCATCCAGATGTTTGATAATCAAGATTGGGAGGTAGATGCGATGTGTTAGGTAGGACAATGAAGCATGTTCGCGAACAAGTCTTTCAAGGTCTGTTTCTGGACAAAGGGGTGAGTGAACGGCGAATCGGAGGGCCTTGGCGGCCGCAGTTCCCGCTGTCCCCGCTGGCACCGTCTGCCATCTGGAGGCGGTACGGAGTGCTTCACGTGACCTGATGTCTTTTGCACCTTGATGTGTGTTGCCTTAGGTAAGCTAGTCCACTCCACATATACACTGAGAGATGATCCGGATGACATAATGCATCCGTGGACTTGGCAAAAGGTGGGGCCGGCTTTTGCTTCCGAACGGGAATCGGCATCCTGAACCGGCCTCCGGCCACGAAATTGATCCGGCTCGCCACCCGTCACTACCTAATTCCCGGGTCCTCGACCCGTCTAGGCGGTGCAATCTGAGACGAATGTCGGTTCGTCCCAGCGTGCATCCCATACGAGACGGCCCCACAATGCGAACACGAACCCGATCATCCATGCATTGACAACTACAACTACAACCATACACACCTATTGCCAATCTCGACCACCCCTACTCCCCGCCAAAACCACCATCGATCTGCATTGCTAAACATCGCGGCAACTAGGCATATCCTACGCGAGTGCTACCGCCCACCAATTCATCCATGTGGGGCCTTGACACCGCCGTCTCTAATCAGAGGAGCAAGAATTGCGCTTATGCGGGGAGGGTGATGTTTAGTCAACGACTCGTCTCCCTCCCCAGCGTCATACCCGCGCTGGATCCCCAAGCCAGGGGCTGGCTAGCTAGCGATGGAGGAGCAGCAACATGCCTACATCCGGTCTCTAGGCGAACCCATCCGCACCGTTGCACTGTTGTGTGTGGAGGTGCCGTGGGTGCGTAGGTATGGTCGACAATGAGACGACTACATAAAAGACTGGACACCCTACATACCCCCTTCAATGAGTTGGAAGTTCGTCCGTACTCAGGCCCTCGCATCCAGTCCTCCCCCCACCATCTCACCGCTGTGAAAGACCACTCGCCACAGTATGGCAAACGCAACCGACCCCGTCGCCGCCGCCGGCGCACTCGACCCTCATCTATCGCAGCATTGGCCAGCAGCGACAGCCGGCCTCGTCTTCATCGTCTTCGCCCTCCTCGCACAGAGCTTTTTCAAGGTCGACCCCGTAGCCCACGTGCCCGTCGTAGGAAAGGGCGGAAAATGGGCACGCAGAAAAGCGTATCTTGCAGGCAAGGGGCCGCAGCTGTACGCCGATGGGTATAAGCAGTTCAAGGACAGCATCTTCCGCATCACGACGTCCAAGAGTAAGTTTGCAGGAATAGGTCAAAATTTTGTTGACAATGACTCGCGCTGACTTACACGTCTTAGAGAAGGATACGATTTGCGTGCCTCCCAAGTACCTCCCCGAGTTGAAGAAGGTCCCCGACGATGTCATCAGCTTCACCAGGGCCATTGACGAGGTATGCGAAGAGCCGACCATCTTCTTATCCCCTAGACTTTGCAAATAGTTCCGAATACTAACTTGACCAAAAGTCCATGCAAGTCAAATACACCCAAATCTCAAACGACATGCCCATCATCATTCACGCCGTGAGAGCGTCCTTGACCCCAGCTCTACGTGCGTCCCCCTTCACTCATCTCCCAATACCAAAGATCTCCTTCCAAAACTAACAACCCCATGAACAGCCCGGCTCAACGAAGGCATCTCAGACGAAGTCATCGACTCAATGCGCCTCGAACTCCCCCAATCCCCAACCTGGACCGAACTCAACATCAACGCCAAACTCCTCCGCATCATCGCAATGGTCTCGGGCCGCGTCTTCATCGGCTCCGAACTCTGCCGCGACGAACGCTACCTCGAAGCCTCAATCTCCTACACCGTAGACCTCATGACCGCAGTCCACGTCATCGCCCTCGTCCCCTCCTTCCTCCGCCCCCTGGTAGCCTCCTGGCTGCCCACCACGAAAAAGCTCTACAAGCGCCTCGCCGACGCCGAAGCTGTCTTCCGCCCCATTGTCACAGCCCGCAAGGAGGCCGCCACGAGAGACGATTACCGCGAGCCTGATGATATGCTCCAGTGGATCCTCAACGCGCAGTCGAAATTCGGGGAGCTGAGTGATCGTGAGCTTGCGTTGGCGCAGCTGGGGGTCAGTTTTGCTGCAATTCATACCACGTCCATGACGACGCTAAATGCGGTGTACTGGCTTGCGGCGAAGCCTGAGATTGCACCGTTGCTCCGGGACGATATTCAGGAGGCCCTCGTCGAGTCTGGTGGGAAGTTTACGAGTGGTGCGCTGCAGAATATGAAGAAGCTGGATAGCTTTCTCAAGGAGGTGATGCGCGTCAACCCGATTTCAGCAGGTATGTACTCACTCTTCACACACACACACTTCCGATGAAGAACCACAGACTTGGCCTTTCAATCGGTCTCTCCCCCCTTACCCCCCCTCCGCAAAAACTGACCTTTCACCCCTTTTTAGCCTCCTTCACCCGCAAAGTCCTCAAGAACGTAACCCTCCCCAACGGCCAAACCATCCCAGAGGGCATGTTCATCGAGGTCCCCGCCGGCGGCATGAACAACGACCCCGAAATCTTCCCCGACCCAGAGACTTTCGACGCCTTGCGCTTCTACAAGCTCCGCGAGGCAAAAGAGCTCGCCACCTCGGGCACCAAGGCGGCAGAGGTCGTCATGCAGGCCCAGTTCGTCAGCGTCGGCACCACGCATCTTACCTTTGGGTATGGCAAACACGCGTGCCCTGGAAGGTTCTTTGCGGTGAATGAGATTAAGATGATTATGGCGAATATTGTCTGCAATTATGAGGTCAAGTTGCCAGAGGGCGTGACAGAGAGATATGAGAATTTGGCTTTTGGCGCTGCTGTGAGTTTCCTTTTTTTTTCTCTTTTTTTTCTCTTTTTTTCCTCCCTTTTTTTCCTGTGCAAACCTCGAACTAGGGGATATGATTATCCTGTGACATGGAATGGAGTGATGCTGACGTGGATTGCTACTAGACTGTTCCGGATCCCAAGAAGACAATCATGATCAGGAAGCTGTAGGTGGGCATTAGTGAAGATTATGTGATACGGATACGGATACGAATTCGGGGAGGGATGAACTTTGCAGCAATGCGTTACATTCACTCACCCGAGAAGTGTGGGGAGTAACGAGCGATTTACTTTTGAGTCATGGCCAGACCCTGCCAGTCTCTTGCTTATCAACCAAGTCCATCATCTTGGAATTTGGCAATATCCAATGTACATATAGCGCTTGACATTTCAGTGATGCTTCTGGACTTGTATCCTTTTTTGAGATTTGCGTTCAAGGGTCTGTTGTAGACGGTATACTAGGGATGGGGGGTATCAAATCAAACTTCCATATCGTCAACGTCAATCTTCTCAACCACGCTCCGCTTCGGCCACTCGATCCACGGCTTCCACTCGTCGTCCAACGTCCTCTCAATCAAGCGCATCACCGCGCTACTCCACCCGTCACAAAGCCAGTCGGCCTTCTCACACGGCTTCGCCAGAGCGGCGTAATGCGCCAGGATGACGAGCGCGGTAGAGTGTCCGCTGGCAACCATGTCGATAAACATGGCGGGCAGGGTGGCAGACCACCCCCACACCCCGCCGGGCTTCTCCCCCGCGCCCTTGCTCATCTGGTGCGCCCTCCGCAGACCCTCCAGCGCCAGCACGCAGACGGACTGCGGATTGATGACGTCGGTGAAGGACGCGGGCACCTCTCTCGCCAGTGAGGTGATGGCGTCGAGGCGCTTCTGGAAGGCCGACGTCGACACCCAGCCGCCCTGCGTCAGCACGGGTGGACGCAGCAGGGCGTCGAGGGGACCTCCGCGCTGCCTCCATGCCTCGATGGGCTGGAAGTCGAGGATGCCCTTGACACCGTGTAGGAGCGAAAAGGACTGTGAGACGTCGCTGAGCGTAATTTGCCTGCCGAAGCCCTCGCTGTGTGCCACGGAGCAGATGCTGACGATGAAGATAAGCGTCGCCAGGAAGAAGTAGGCCTCGCAGTTGTCCTTGTTGATGTCGTTTAGACGGAGGGCGAAGAAGCGCAGTGCCTCATTCTGGTGGTTCACCGAGATGATGTCGTACTTTTTTCGCTCGTGCGGGTGGATATGGGCGTAATGGAGGGCGGATAGTGCCAATAGGCCGTGCATAAGGAATTTCTGTTGTTGAGTTATGGTGTTAGTAAGACGAACCAGTTCGCAAACTCGAATCGTTCCATTTCACCCACCACCTCTCCACGGCAGAAGAAGAGGGGTGGAATGAAAGTACATTTGGCCCGTCGGGGTAAGGTTCTGACATACGTGAGAGCAAGCCATCTCGGGTATAGCCGTCTTCCAAAGCTCTTCGGTACAGGCATCTTTTGGCAGGACGTGCCTGGTACTGGTGCTGTAGTGGTGCATCAGGCGTAAACTCTGTAGCCAATCCTCCGAGAGATCCCAGGGATCTGTGGCGGGGTTGCGAGGATCTGGCGCCGCTTCACCCCCGGGATAGGGAGAAGTGCTGCTCACTGAGGAGACGAGGTCAATTCTCTAGTTCTGGGCAGATGTCCAGGGTCTGCGATATCGAGATTGATCATATCATACCTGCTGTGTTGGGGGTGAGACCTGCTTCACTTGCCGCTTCTTGCACGCCATGATTTGACTGCTGCGAAGACGAGGTGGACGAGGTCGTCAACCCCGCTGCCGCGGCCTGAATGGGTGCGTATCGTTGCGCATTCTGAGCAAGCTTGGCTGCGGCGGGTGGCGTGAGAGGCGCCGTCACCGATGCGGGACGATCGAGTAGACTGCAGTGTGCTCCATGGGCAACACACTTCTGACACGGCCGTTCCTCGTCACACTACGCGAGACACACACACAAAGAAACATGAGTTCATGTCTATACGTAGAGCGGAGAAAACAGAGTCGTGTCGAACACCAGGGACGTTAGCGTACCTTGACACGACGTGCTTTGCAGCGCTGGCATCCGTTCCTCGACTTCTTGTGACCGAGGCGCCTTGTACGCTTCTCCATGGGCGCGCGCGCGCGATGCCGGCACGGGCAAGGGTGGACAAGGGGTGTTGAGGTACACGGTTGGTTGAATTTGTGGTGGAGAGATACGGTACACCGTGGATTCCGTGGCAACTGGAAGTGTTGAAGCGGGTTCGGGTTCGTAAGATGGCCGCGTGGGTGAAAGGGTTGGAAATGGCCAGGACTCAGAAGAGAAATGAGGGAGAACAGTGAAAGAAAAAGAGAATGCGAACGGTCGGTGCACTGACTACGAAGGACCTCGCCCAATAAGAGCCGGTAGTTGCCGAATACGGGGGGAGATTTCGTAAGTCAATTACGAGGGGGGCCGTTGAGGAAAACGAGGAACTTCAAAGACGCCTCCCGGAGGCTGCCCACAGGGTGTAGGTCGCTTGGCTGCTGCTGCTGCTGGCCCCTGGGGAATCTCTTGCAGATCAAACCGCTAGTCGTCACGCTAAGACTGTGGGGGAAACGCGGGTGGAACCGCTGAAGCAGCACGAGATACGAATGCGGTCTCCTTAATGCGAATCCGAGGTTTCCTCGAATGAGTGCCGTGGGGAAATAACACCCAGAGACTCAAACACAATCTCGAATCTACACTATAAGGCTGAGAACCCCCGGCACTGATTGACTCTTTCAAGGTGAATTTTACTCGGACTGAATCATTTCAAACCTCTCTTTTTAAATGTGGGTAAAACCCGCGTACCTTATTTCTACGAGATCTGGTAACCTTGTTCAACGATACGCACTGCGTGGAGTCCGTTCAATGATATCTTTCACAAGGGGAATCCGAACTCGAGACCTTCAAAAATAAGACTTTTACTTTCTACCTCCCAGCAACCCGCTGTCCCAGTCACAGTATTCGATCTAAGGTACCCAGGGCTTCAGGTCTTGTACCGAAGGGAAGTTGAAAGTCTTCCTCTCGCCCGCAGAGCGAGGAAGGCAATCAATCTCGAAACACGATTCATCATCTTGCTTGGAACAAGTTGGGCAAGAGGAAGGCTCAAAAGGTGGAAACTCGTCGCCAGGTCTAAACCTGCTAATGGTGTGGTTGAAACAGTACGTCTCTCCAGGCTTGGCTTGATCGATGAACTCGTTGATCCCCACAATCGAATCATAATGTTTCGTAAGCATGGGAATGACCGCAACAAGAATATCCCGAAATTCGTCACCATCATCCGGCATATCGATATCGATATTGAGACTGCTGAGACTGGTGAAGACGTCTCGGAGGCAGTGCTGCCAGACGGACGACTTTTGAATGTACTGATGGTACCGTAACTGATCCTGCTTCTGCACCTGCTGCCCGTTGTAGATCCGGATCACCTCTCTGGCGTCGTCGAGCTCGGCCTTAAGGCTCGCATACTCTTCCCGAAGCCTGCCGACTTCTTTGGCGAGGCGGATCCTCGCGGCGCTCTCCTTTTTCCACCATTCTCTGGCAATCGCGGGCTGGCGCTGGCGCTGGCTGTTGTCTTCCCGCTGCTGGTGGAGTTGGATTTCGTGCGCTAGTCTCTGCTGCATGCGTTGGAGCTTGGTGACCTCGGCGTCCACTCTGTTCTTGTATTTTGCGTTTGCGTTGGCTGTCTGTGTGCCAGGGAGGGCATTACGGAAGTCAGAGCCTTCAATCCCGAACGGGTTGGCCAGCGGTCTGGGTTCCGACTGTACTCTATCGATGGAGTCGAAGACTTGCGGGTTGGCATGGAATTGCTGGCCGAAGTTGCCTGCAGTGAATGGGCTGTTTTCCCTAGAGAAGCTGGACAAGTTAAGAGAACCAGTGGGAGGCGACGCGGGGAGCGTCGTGGTAGACATGGCGCCTAGCTGGGGAGACTGCTTTGGAGGCATGTTCAATCGATTGAAGATACATGTAGATGAAGTTGCTGAAGGGGTGTTATGGACCGCTAGTTCTTGAAAGGGAGTCGTAGGTATGGATCCGGAAGGTCTGGGTCGAAGGCCCTGTCCTCCTTGACTGCCGGCTCCGGGATTGGGTTTCATCTTGATGCCGCTGGATAGTGACTAACTGCAATGAATATTGGAGAAGAAGTTTTGATGGGAGATGTTAGACATGAGGGCAATATATAAAGTTAGATCGCGTCGACTTCGTGGATTGAACTACTCTTAGAAGAACTTTCGCTTCATTCCGGAAGATGGGATGTGAAAGACCAGGCCTCATTGAGTCATGTACCCAGATTCTCGTGTGTCTAACGACAGCCGGACGCTCGACAAAGAAACGGTACATTTACAAAGAGAAATGTGGTTATAAAACATCAGGAGCTTCAAACCCACGTTGGATGAGTTCCAAATCCCTTGTCATTTTGAGACATCGGCCTTTGAGGTATGAAAAACATGGCAGAAGCCAACTTACCCTGAGACAAGTGAACACTCATAATCTCCAAGACTGACAAAGTTTTGAGTGGTATGCACTTGAGTATCAAGCATTAGGATCATGCTCTGATACTGTAAGCCATGAGCTCCAAGAAGCAAATAGAACTGCAGTCTAGTCTCTCGGTTTCATGGGATATGTCGGCCTGTACCCTAAGCTATCGAAACGAAGCATGGAAATATGGCTGCATTGTATTGTTGGTTACATTGTAGGAAGGAGGGTCTGCTCACCGTTACTTTCCTCCCTGCCGGTGGCATAGAAACAGTCACGGAGGACCCCGAGTATAGACCCACTTAACCGGTGCCGAATTTCTGACAGAATATGCGAAGTCCGTGCGCCCGGAACGAACTGGTCTCCACTTGAAAGCCGCACCAGAAACCGACAGGGATCTTCATCGGCCAAAGGGCCAACCCTTAATCCGTCGCAATCGCGCATCGCCAAAATTTCGGGTCCTGCAACACATCAAGCTACCCATTGCACCACTACCAACCCGGAGCCTCCTACGAAACGAGGTAAAGGCGAACCATCGAACAGCAAACCGACGAAGCAACAAGCGTACACGATACTGGTCAATTGACCCTCAACCCCAGCCCAACCCAGCCCGATCACACACACCAAGAAACCCCCCCCGAGCTCGGGAAAGAGCCGGTAGCGACAACCCGAACCGCCCACCATGAGACCCTCACCCGTCCTCCAGGTCCTGAAATACAGGCACCTGAAGCTGACGACCAAGGACGTCAACAAGGGCTTCTACAAGGGAAACCGGACGGGCGCCATGGGTCGCCACACAAAGTACGGTGGCTACGTGATTGAGTGGCACAAGGTGCGGACGTACGTCGTGCCGGAGGGCCTCAAGGATTTCAAGGTAAGAGACAGGACAGGACAGGGCAGCACCTATGGCGCAACCTTTTGCTCCTCGAGAGCGATGGGATGAGCTGTATACATGGTAGACAAACACGTTTTGGAGACTGTCTGACTGACTTGGTAACGTGACAACTTTGTAGCTCACGCCCTTCGTCTCCGATGCTGTGCGGCCCCTGAGGGGAGCGTACGCCACGAAAGAAGGCCCCCGCGACCCCAAGCTTTACCTCGAGAACTGGAAGCAAGTCAATGGTGTGGATTAAGGGGTGGAGTCCGGCTTCGTGGGAGGATCAAGAAGAAGAATGGAAGGCGTGGGAGATGGGAGACACGAGAGTCCGCTGATCGACAACGAGAGGTCGATGAAATCCGAAAACATTGGGGGCAGAAACACATATTCTCACCCAACACAAGAGTGTACAAGAGCTGTATATACCCTCGACGCTGTAACAATATGTAACAAAAAAAAACACATATCCAACAACATTTCAGAGGGGTCTCGCAGAGTGTCAGGGTTCGCGAATGAGATTCGAAGGCGAGAGAACAAGCCCTCCCGAAACGGGGAAGATGCTGGAACCATGAAGGTGAAGGTTTGTAAAGACACTACCATTGAAGCTTTTAATATCCTGTTCATATTTACACAGCAAAGTCTCATGCAGTCTGCTCCAACCCCCCACCATTAATAACCTCCTTCCCCTTCCCTTTGGCGAGGGGCAAATCCTCCGCCGCCGTGACAAAGTTCTCCAACGGCGGCCTTTTGCTCTCAGTCTCTCCTGCAGCGGGAACCTGGGTGCTGGCCTCGGAAGCCGAAACCCCGTTCCCATTGACCCCATCAGTCGCGTCCGTGTCCGACCGGTTCAGCTGCGGCATGGGACTAATCGGCCGGCTATCGGCGCCCGACATGAGCGTCACCATACTCGCCGTCTCGGCGTCCTTCTTGCCGAGGCTAAACGGCAACGCAATGCCGTCGAGGAACGGCCGCTTGCCCGCTACGCCGGTGCCGCCGGGAATGAAATCCGGGCTCAGGTGGTTCCCGTCAGCGGCAGCCTGCTCGTTGTGCTTCTCTTGTTCCTTCCTCTTCTCAATGAGAGCCGCTACCGGCGTTGCATCTTCTACTGCAGTGGTCTGGGAATCTTCCACCTGAAAGGGATCCGGCGTCTCCTCTTCCTCCGTTTGGTGCTCGTCCCGCACGAACCGCCGTTTACTGCCCGTAGGCGAAGCAAGCGGTGCAGGATCCTGATGCTCAATATCCTCAAACGACCTCGCTCCCTCGCCGCCCCTCGGCGAAGTCTGCGACTCCCGCGTCTGCTGCGATGTCCTGCCCGCGGCAGCGGCAGCGGCATCGGAATCGGCCCTCTTCTCCCTCTTCGTCGTCGTCTCGTCGTGCTTCGAGCCCCAGAGCGACCACAGCGCCAATCCGATGCTCTTGGTCTTCTTCCTATCCACCAGCTCGTCCGACGCTTTGCGTCGACCCGCCAGCGCCGTGGGCGGCGGCTGCTCGCCGTCGCCGAAATCCATGTACCCATCTGCCAGGTCCTTGATTATGCTCTTGTGGACTTTAGCCTTTGCGCTCGAGAACTTCTTGTCAAAGGTGGCTTTTGTGTCGAGCCAGCGCCTCACGGGCGTGGGCCTGACGACGCCGACCTCTTCCGACTTCATGATGCAGCCGTCTAGCTCGAATTCCGGGGGTAAATCAGAGACGACGCCGCGGGTGCTGATCTTTTGCCGGATCATGTGCTTCTTGAAGGGCGGTAACGGCATGCCCGCCTTCCCAACCAGTTCCGGAGGCCCCGCGTTCTCCGTCTGTTCGGCCCCCTCCTTATCAGAATCCGATGCGGAGCTGGAAATCATTGAAATGTCATCGTCGTCCAAGATCTCAATCTCCGTCTGCTGCGCCCTCGCCAGCGCCCAGGCGCCAAACTGCGCGACCGCGCGGTACATGTGTTTCGCGGGCCGAGTGAAGCTGAGCGTCGGCGCCACGTGGCAGAGGTCGTCCCAGACCTGGAGCTGCACATCCGTAGGCTTATACTGCTTAAGCTGCGCCATCCCCGCATCGTCGAGGTCCGGCGGCGGGTATTTGGCGGGATTCGCGCACTTGTGCGCCACGTAGATTTGCTCGTCGCGAAGCACCTCGCCGCCGCCTACCATGATGAGTAGCGGGCAAAGGCCGCCCAGGGTAGGCTGCATTACCGGGCTGACCATTGGATGGGAGAGCAGGGCGTTGGTTGTGTACATCTACAGCCTGTTTAGTATATCCCGCGAGAGCGAGATAGCCACGAGAAAGACGTACCTGGATCTGGTCCTTGACTGTGGTAAGCTTGCCATCAATGGTGACGGAAAGCTGCAAGGCCGTCTTTGTGGGATCCGCATTTCCATCAGAGTCAGACGTGCCCCCAACGTCTCGTTGCCATCGCCCAGCGCAATCGGCGCAGCCTGCTTCTTCTCGAGCGTGTTGAGCTTCGTGGCGCTCTTCTCCTTGCCCGCCCGCGCCTTGATGGCCTGCTCCCTCATCATCTCCATATCATCCTCGTTCGGCGGCGGCCAGCTCCTGGACGGCTTGTGATGGAAGCCGGACGACGGGATATAGTCCATCTGGTTATCCCCCGAGACGCTGGGGAACGAGTGCGTGAGGTCGACCCAGGGGCTGATGAGGACCGCACCCGCGGGTAAAGGGATACCCCGGTCTCGCAGGATACACAGCATCGAGAGCACCATGCCGCCGCCGGCCGAGTCGCCGGCAAGCACGATGGTAGTCGGGTCCTGGACGGTGAGGAGGTAGAGGTAGGCCGCAAGACAATCCTGCAAACCACAGGGGAAGGGAAACTGCGGCGCGAGGCGGTACCGCGGCGCGAGAACCCTCGCCTTCAGCTTGCGGGCGTGCCGCTGCATCTGGTAGCGGTGCTCGTCGACGCTGCCAAAGAAGTAGGCGCCGCCGTGGACGTAGAGCATCACCCTCTTCGTCTTGCCGTCGTTCTTCTTGCGCTCGTGATAGTCTGCGCGCATCTCGATCCACTCGGCCTTCAGCGGGCTCTGCGGCTTCCGCCATTTCCACCACTTGCACCCTCCCACGGCTCGTACGCCTTGGGGGCCTAGTTGTGCCTCAATCAGGCCGGCCGATTTCTCGAGCTCGGTCTCGGGAATCTCGACGTCTTCTACTTTGACCCATTGCGGGTGGGGGACCCATTGGGCTGTGAAGGCTTGAAGCTCCTCGACCGTATGCTGGGCCGCGAATTCGAGGAAGGATCGGACGAGGTGCAGGCCTTCGTCGTAGGATAAATGTGAATTGGGCCCTCCCTTTGAGGTCTTTCGATTGAGGTACTGTAAGAATGAGGATCAGTCAATTGCTTCTTGAATTGCGGTAGCCATCGAAATCCTCGAGGGGGGTTGCATTGCGTGTTCTGTGACAACGATCCGGGGAAAGCTACGCGCTGGGGAATAGGGGAGAGACTCACATGTGAAAAGAGGGTGGATACGACGGTTGGCGTGACCGCCAGTGACACCGAAGTGGTGTTGAGCTTCAACGGGTTCATGATTTTCCTCGTTCTGGTCCTCCCTCACAGATTTAGAAAGCCGAAACGAGAATCTGCCAGCTCGCGCCCCTTCGAACCTGCGGGACTTCTTGGCTTTTGAAAGCTCCCCCCTTTGACGAGAGCGGTGGACGATCCTATACGGTTTGTGGAACAGACCATCACGTCGTTGGAGCACAGAAGAAAGCCGTACCCTGAAACCTCCCCCCCCCCAGATGGCTAGAGCTCACTACCGGAATAGGGGACCGATGACATCACTTGCAGCGCCCAAGTGGATGAGCCAATGTCCGCTGGGCCTGGTCAACCGGCCGTAGCTTCATCACCAGCTGCCAGGATCATGAATAATGAGGAGACTGGCTGCCAAGGTTACTTGGCCATGCGCTGATTTTATGAGATATTTCATAGGATTTAAGCGACATTTTGGATGCGGGCATTTGTCTATCTTAAGAGAAGTGCCAGGTGCTCAAGGTGCTGGCAATTGGCTACCCAATTGTGCATCTCCAGCTGAGAGTTCCCTCCCGCGCTGGGCCCTGGCATGCCTGGCTAGGCCCCGAGAGCGGGAACCGCCGGGGTAGCCACGGTCTCCACACAGCACAACCGACAGTGCAAATCGTCGCATGCACTATCCATCCACCAGGGGTGGAAAAAAAAATTGTGATCTGAACAAACTGTCACCGTACCCAAAATCTGCCCCTCCAAGATACCCCGCGAAAACAAAGGTCAGTCAGTCAGTCGACTTTCACGCATCAAAGTCAAACATGGCAACCAACGCCCCCATCACGGCAGGCAAGTCTAACCTACACCAAAATACAAACCCATCATGTACATTGAAAATCCTAATACCAGTCAACACAGAGGCCTGCCAATCAACCTTTGAACAAGCCGTCGCCCTCTCCCTCCACATGTGGCCCGCCCTCTCCCTCGCCGTCCAAAACCACTGGGGCGGCCCCGACTCCGCCGACAAACGAGACTGGTTCGCCGGCGCCGTCGCCGAAATCTTCCCAACTTTCACCAAAATCTCCGCCGCAGGCCAAGCCATGCCCGCCACCGCCGCCGCCGCCGCCGAGGAGCCCGACACGGGCTACGTCGAGACCATGCTGCTGCAGGTCATGCTGGACGAGTTTGAGGTCAACGTCGACGACGAGACGGGCTACGACGTCGCCGAGCAGATTGTCAAGCTGCGCGTCGAGTGCGCAAAGGGCAATTTCGCCGCCGTCGACGAGTTGCGCAACAAGTGGGAGAGCCGCAAGGGCGCCAAGGTGGAGGGGCTGTATAAAAAGGTGGAGGCCGGCGACCAGGATACCGATTGGGAGGACGACGACAGCGAGGAGGACGATGAAGACGACGTTGACATGGACGACGCGCCTCAGCTCGTGCGTGCGCCAAAGGAGAAGCAAGAACCAGAGGTCGACGAAGACGGTTTCACTACAGTCACCAAGAAGAAGAGATAAAAAGGACTTGTCTTATAAGCAAAAGAGAAGCGAAGAGAGAGAGAGAGAGAAGAAATACCCCTCCACCACCGCGACTTTGGTTCTCAAGAGCAAAATGCTTCACTAGGGGCCCCGCGTGGCTGATGTACAAATGTCCGCATAATTAAGAGCTTGTCATTCGAGCCAAAGAGAAAAATCCAAAAAAGTCCCCCCCCCAAATCAACGCCTATCAGCAAAAAGGGAAAAGCATGCCGAATAACATACATCCTCCTACTACTCCCAGTCATCGTCACTATCGTCGGCCTTGCGGGAGTCCTTGGGGCTGTTGGGGGCTTGGCTAGGGACGCCAGACGTGGCACCAACAACGTCGTAGCTGGTGTCACTGTCGGCCTGGGACTTTTCGTCATTGGACTTGCGGGACTCGGCGGGCTTGAGGGTGGAAGAGGTCTGCTGGGCGGGAGGCTGAATGGTAGTGGAGGACTCGGCTGATGGCGGGCGGGCTTGGGTTTGCTCGGTCTTAGGAGCAGCAGCAGCAGCGGCGGCAGCAGGGGCGGGAGTGACAGCGGCGGTAGCAGGGGCAGAAGCAGCAGGAGCGGTTGTAGTGGCCTCGTCGTCCGAGTCATCATCCCAACCAACCTCGTCCTCGGCAGAAGCAGCTGGGTCTAGTTAGCAAACAGTTGTGGTAATCAAAAATGCCTTTACTCACCCTTGAGCAAATCACGTCGTCGAGTCTCGGCAGCCTCCAGGCCGTGTCTGAGGAAGTAGTATCTCTTCCAGAACTCGGCATAGGGAACCTGATCGGGCACGAGCTTCTCCATCGTCGTTCGCAGTTCGGGGTACTTGTTCAAGTCATCGCTAATCTCAGTCGTCTTCTTCTCCGCGTCAAAGGTCTTGGCCCAGGCCGCGAATTCCTCCGTGGCAGGGTCCTTTGCGAAACTCTCGGTGCTCGTGTGGATGACGTGCAGCTGGGCGTCTTGCCTCGAGGTGTGAATCACCCGCTTGCCCTGTGCGTCCTTGCTCTCGAACATGACGGCACCTCCCTGGTTATTGGCGTCGGTGGGCGGCGCGATGCTGACCGCCTCCTTGAGGAAGTTACTAATATTGGTGCCGAAGCGGAGCAGAGCTTCGTCGGCGGCGTCCTCGGCCTTTTGCAGGTCCTTGAGCCGCTTGGCTGCCTCGGAACGGAGCCGCGTGAGGTAGTTCTCGGACCTGCTCATGGCGTCGTCCGATGCCGCCAGGTCTCTGGTCTTTGTGGGCGTCGTCTGGCTATCGGTCTCCTTGCTCTTGTCTCCGGGGGACTCGTCTTGCGTCGTCGTGTTGACGGTGAGCGATCGCGTCCGGCTAATGATCGAGCTAAAGCCCTTGGATGCGTCCTGGCCGAGCTCCGTCACCTCCTTGGAAGCTTCCTTGTAGACTTCTTGTCCCTAGCATCACCGGGTTAGCCGGCTCCTCCATTCACTCCCTTGGAGTTCTTGTATGGTGCATCGCCTCACCTGCTTCACGGCACTTCCCAAGAAGCCACCGATGCGCATGCCCCAGGGACTGGACGAGATAGCCTTGTAGGCCTCCTGCAAGTCATCGTTCAAAGATGACTGCGGCTGGTCAGATTTGGTGTCCTTGGCGTCGCCATTCTTCTTATCGGCATCCTTGGGGAGAGAGTTCTCCTGGATGTGATCGTACGCCAGATCCATGGCAAGCGCGGCAGAGTCCGAGCTTCGTCGAGTCGACACTGGTAGTTGTTTACTCGGGTAGTCTTTTTCGAATTTCGAAGGAGCCCGCTGCGAGGCTAAAGCTGGTCGGTTCGTGCGGGAGTGGAGTTTGAGGCGAAATCGTGCGATGTGTGTCGAGAGCTGGGTCTGGACGAATGATGTCTGGCTTCTGACATGAGGCTGCTTCTTTCCCTTCCGTTTCCCCCTGACGGGCGGGGTGGTGGACGGCTGCATGGTGGTCAATGCGGGGGGAGTACAGAGTACGTCCACGAGTGGATCCCCGGCGCGGCCACTGCCGGAACCTCTTTCGTTTCTGGCATTTTGCGGTCTCTCGTTCTAGTGTATGGCCTTACGCCGTGGTAATAACGAGAACATCGCTTGCATCAAAGCATTCAATCACACTCAAGTCTTACCTGTGGACCGCCGCACCCGGAGGCAAGTCGTTGCAGCGCGCAGACATACCTCGTAGCCCGGTAGCATTGACCTGAATTAGGCATAGAAGCATTTCAAGGCGGCCGTCAGAGTCATGGATGAGGCGGGACCTATCTTCTGCACGAAGGGACCTGAAAGCGAACCTTTTGAGTTGTTGGTCCGCCCTTGATACCTTAACCCCCGCGCCGGGGACGGAATGACCTCAGCGCAAGCGCCTCCCCAACCGGCACCTTGCGGCTCCTGTTCCGAGTTGCTCACTATGGAGGCACGCGTGGGCACGGAACGGGGACGGCTGCGGGGGATGGAATCCGGTCGATCCTACCTGGCTCTATGGCGAATTGCGGCGACTGACCATAGACTTCGATTTTGGACGTCTTGGGTCAATCTCAGTCTTGTCAGATATCCTATACCGCATTCCAAATGGCGTGCTCTGTCATTGACCACATAGTATATAGCAGTGACAGCCGACCATGGTATGAGGGGTTGGCAGTGTGGCGCATTAGACACCCGGCATCTCTTTACATCCGTTCACCAAAACAAGCACGGAAAGCTCAACTGATCCTCTCGGAGATAGTGTGCAACTTCGCCTCACCCGCCTGAGCCTCGCGCGCCTCGCTCCTTCGTGCCCTCCTACTCGGAGGAAGGCCAAGCATATTCGCAAAGTCCCGAGACGCGCAGTGTGCAGTGTAAGCTTTTCGGGCGGAGTAGCGTCGGGGTCTAGACGCTCTTCTGGGCTTGTGGCGAATGGCGATTTATGCAAGGAAAGAGATGTAAGCAGAACAGACCACTTTTGGTCCCTGGACCAACAGTTTTGCTAAGGGTCGCACTACGACACAGCAGACAGGTGTGGAGGGATGCGACGAGTGTAGGTGGGCCGTCAAGAGCTGTTGTCTCGTGCTATGCCATAAGGATATGCGAGTTTCTTCCTCGAGTCTGTGAACCCCTGCCATGTTGTGATATCAGGGCCGAAACGGTTGCAGAGACGTGTTCGCTGTGTCATTTGTCATCCCAGCATTGACAGCAGTATCCGTGGTAATTACTTCGTGCTTGTTTCCCCCTTGAAGCGGCACGTCCCACGAGGATGGCCAGGAAGACGATCACTTAGATTATCAGATCTAGGCAGCCACTGGCATCCCCTTTTTTCTACTCATACCAACGCCCGCTGCATGGGACCTTTTGCGTGAACGGCTAAATAAGGCCAAGACGGTCTTGCGGCCAGCAAAGATTAGAGTTCCAACCAGCCATCCCCAGTTTCCAAAGAATGGTAAACCGTGAAATAGTGTGTACTCCGTACCTTTCTTTAGTGTAGCTGCTAAGCTGGGTCATAGTAGGGGAAGCGTAAGCCTCGACATGGGCTTCGCCTGTTGCGCCGGACGCACTCGGGGTTTGAACGGGACTTACAGCGGGATAATAGACTATCTTGGCCGATGTAACTGGATGGCGTATTGACGCTGTATTCGTACGGATAGACGCTACCACGGCTACCTCCGGCGGATATGGACATATGCCGGATTTACAGCAGCCTGCAGAGGCTGTGCGGCACGAAGCGGCTACACGCTGCACAGCTGCCACAGAACCTAGTGAACAGTGAGCAGGATCTGATTATGGTGGCAGGTGCGGA